AAAAAAAAGCCCAGAATTAAAGAGGAGATGTCTCTGATTGAACAGGATTAATAGAAAAAGACCTACTCCTCTACATCAGAATATGTAGGATGACGAAAAAAAAAAAAAAAAAAACCTAAAAATAAATCAATAAAAGAAGGGAGAAAGGACTCTAATTAAAATCCCAATACAATCAAGGCAGCTGGAGAAGTATTTCATTCACATGTCAGGAGGACTACAGATCAGATCTTTCTTTCCACCCCACCTCTGAGATTTTTTCAGGTAACACCAACACCACTGTTAACAGCTGGTCACCCAGGCCTTGGGTCTCCACTCCGCTGCTGTGCTTCTCCACCCACTTCAGGGAACTATGTGAACAAAGTTGTTTACATCGCACCTTGGACCTCAAGAGTTGGAAACGTTCCACTAAACTGCTGACTACAAACTCTATTTGTAGAAGCCTATGACCTTCTTAGAAAAAATGTTTTTTTACCTCAAGATGTGCAGTCCTTGTAGCTTACCTGATTCTTTCACACTGTCAGGTCAGCACTGCTGGTTCACCTTCCTTCTCCAATTTGCCTGGATCCCAAGCAAGACTCCTGATCTTTTGTTAGGAGCCTCCATTAATTTCTCACATGGCCGTTATGCCACATCTTCCAACAAATTCCTAACTAGAATCAATCTCTGCCATCACAACTGCCCTAACTCCTGGGCTACTGAGCCCCCAGACACGGCATAACCAAGTTGACTGTTGGCTCCATGTCAAGTGTCTCATCTGGGGCCTCACTTGAGTCCTTGATGGACTCAAAACCGTCTAGAAATTCTTTCTTCATCTTTTGTCAGTCCCTGTGTCCATTCTTCATAGAGGCTGTCCAAACCTCCACCATCTTTCAAAGTCCTCTAGCTCACCTCAGCTCCCCTCGCTCATAATAAATGGCTTAGTATATGATCAGGCGTTTCCCAAATATCTTTTGAGAGCTATTAGTATACAATGAAATATTTTAAATGTGAAGATACAATAGGTTAAGAAAAGCATTTTTCGGGGCGCCGGGGTGGCTCAGTCAGTTGAGCGTCTGGCTTTGGCTCAGGTCATGATCTCGCGGTTTGTGAGTTCGAGCCCCGCATCAGGCTCTGTGCTGACAGCTCAGAGCCTGGAGCCTGCTTCGGATTCTGTGTCCCCCCCCTCTCTCTGCTCCTCCCCGACTCATGCTCTGTCTCTCTGTGTCTCAGAAATAAATAAACATTAAAAAAACAAAAAAAGAAAAGCACTTTTCAACATAAACCATACATCTCCTTTATCTCTAAGGTTGGTTATTCCTTCCAACTGCACTTCATACTACCAGCTCTCCTGTCTGGAACTGCCTTCTGCTCTGGCTTGAACCACATCACTCTTCTCTTTCTCCTCCCACTTGTGACAGCACCCTCCCCACCTCCTCCAACCCCTCTGCTAATATGCCAGCATGCCTCAGATCTGTCTCCCTTCACGGTAACATGCTCCCTAGGGGATCACACCCATGCCCACAGCTTCAAAGACCATGGACATATGCCAACAATGACCTCCCCCATTTACATCCGATAACCCAGACTCAACTATCTGACTGCTTATGACGCATCTTTACCAGACGTCCCCGACATACCTGGACCTCAACTTATCAAACTAGACTCACTAACTTTACTCACTCATCTGCTTCCCTATATTCCTCTTTGGTTTACAGAAATGCCATCCACCTAGTTTTCCAAAGAATAAACATTAAGTCACACTTCCTCTTCCTTCACCTCCATGCTCACGTCATCAAGTTCAGATGACCTAGTCCAAAATGTATGCCAATGTTTCCCTTGCTCTTTGTTCCCCAAGTTACAATATCTCTCTGACCTCAAACATGCTCTTCATCTCACACGAATCCACACCAATGAGTGGCAATCTGGGCTGCACATTAAAACCGCCTGCAGAATTTATGAAGATCCTAAAGTGCGGGGCATACCACAGGCCAATGATTTTAGAGTCTCCAAAGGTGGAAGCCAGGCATTAGCATTCTTTACAAATTTCTGTATAATTCCAATAGGCAGCCAGATTTAAAATGTTTCCAGAATTGAAGATATTGAGCACACAGATTCAAAGTGCATAAACAATGAGTTAAAAGTCTTCAGCATGATGGGAGCAGTGGGAAACCAGGAACCTAGAATTCTAAGGCCTGATAAGATGTTCTGGGAGAAAAGAGCAGACTCTTCCAGATGCACAAAGCTAGGACTCTGCTACACACAGACCATCACTGGAAGAACTACCTTCTGAAGAATACACAGTTTGATTCTTCAACAACGTGGGTTTGAGCTGCACGGGTCCACCTACACGTGCATTGTTTTTTGATAAACAGAGTACAGTACTGTAAATGCATTTCTTCTTCCTTATGATTTTCTTAAGAACATTTTATTTTCTCTATCTTTATTACAAGAATACAGTATATGATACCAACTATTTCTGTTACCGGTAAGGCTATGAGTAGTTAAGTTTTGGGGAGTCAACAATTATACATGGATTTTCGACTGGGTGCGGGTAGCACCCCTACCCCCCACATTGTTTCAAGGGTCAGCTGTACTCCACTGTGAGCCAAGATCAGAGAGGTATTTAATACTGACCAAGTCTGGATTCCACCTAGAAAATACAAGATGTGTGAATGTATGCACCACTGAGAGGTTCCAGTGACCTTAATAAAGGTAAAATCGCTCCATGCAAAGAAATACATTTATAACAAAAGTATTAGCAGGATTCTGGCTAGTTAACTGTTTTCTTGTGCTTTTGCAGAATTTAGTCTCAGTTTTCAAGCATTCAATTTCCAGAACTTTAATAAAAGGAAGCAATGACAATGTAGCAATGTTAAAAGATGTTTACCACTTTCTTTCATTGCAAAAAAAAGATGTAATATATTCACATACTTATCAAAATATCAAAACAATTTTATTTTTGCCATCAATATCTTGTTTTCTAGATGATCTAAAAATAATTTAAGAATTCCAAAATGATAATCATTCAATTCCTATAACACTCGACTTGGTTCCCTTTCATTATTTCTTAGCAAATTCAACCATACATGTTAATTTTATTAAATTAATCATCCGTATTAGATTCTAAGATTTACCACAGAGAAGAAAAAAAGACTCTTAACCAAGATGATAATTATATATTTAATACATCTTGCTTTTAACAGCAATTTTCAAAGTAAACACATCATAGACCTTATAACTTATTAAAGATTTATAGTGCTTACAAAGTTGATTCTAAAAATATACCTTATTTGTTCTAAATGAATAACATTATCTGGAAGATAGAATAATAAATTATAGTAGTATGTTTACCACCACTATAGTTAAGATTGTGTACATATATCCAATATGAAATCCTTTTAGGATTTTCTCACTTTCAGCCTTAAAACGTAAAAGCAGATTAAAGTTTGGCATACAAGATCTCAGACTGGTAGCAATGGTTTTAAAAACCAAAAATTACAAGATATCTAGTTGACGTATTATGAGAGCATGGGCACATGCACATACATTTTTACATGTACATCCTCTCTCTCACTCAACTCAGTGCACGTGCGCGCGCGCGCGCACACACACACACACACACACACACACACACACACACACACACAGTAAGCAGAAAGCTCCACCCTTTTGTATCAGACAACTGCCATCAATAAAAACTGGGAAAAAATTTAACTAAAAATATGTTTAAACCACACTTACATGGTTCCAGGTGTTAGAAGGAGATGCACAAAACTTATCAAGATCTTTAACATGCACAATATGCCATCTCAGTACATTCTTAAACAGGCTTAAACTACTCACTAATGGGCATATGAATACCTAAAAAGTGATGTGCTCATCCATTCCCCAGATGGCATTCCAATGATAATCAGTCACATGACCCAGCCTGGTTAATGTGGTTTGCTTTACAGAGCCCAACAGATTACAGAACCCAGGAGAATTAGAAACTTCATTTTGATCGGTTTGGGGTTTTTTGTGTGTTCCATGTGCAAAAGGAATGGGATTCTGTATTACAAATGACAATATCATTTAACACTTTGTGGCACTGTAAAAGGTCATTTTTGTATTTCTAAAACACATTCATTCCAGCTAAATTTCCCAATGGTACCTTCTTTTAATTATATATAGTCTCGCAGATTAGACTTAAAACAATTTAATGCTGATAACCTCTCCTGCTCAACACTTTTACCTCCAGTGTAATTCCTTTTTTGGACTCTCTCCAGTAATGCAGGTTTGAAAATGTTCTACAGACGTTCATTTTCATTATAAATTAAAACACCCAAAGCTCTCTGAGACAACATTAAAATAGAAACTAACCACACATTAGGGCACCCATAGCTCATACTGCTGTGATTAGAAAAATAAAAAGGCACAACAGTAAGCAAAAGAGAATATGCCAGCTTTCCATTTTTGTTTTTCTTTTTTTTTTTTTTTTTGGCTTTCCTCCTATTTTATTTCACTAAGTTTATTAACAGTTCAAGCATTCTTATACTCTGCATGACAATAACAGAATATTTTGGCACATCAACATTGTGATACAATATATGGTATGTTTAAAAAATTAATTTAAAAATTTCATCTATTAATGAACATGTTTTTAATGTAGTGCATATATATTTTATAGTTATTTAAGTCAAATACATAAAGGTTTGTAACTGATTTACAGATGAAGCAATCACAGATTGCAGTAATATATGCGTATGTGCATGTATATGCATATGTGCATGTGTGTATGTATGTGTGTGTAAATATATACATATATATGTATATATACACGTATATACTTGTGTATATATACATATATATGTGTATATACATATGCATACACACACACACACACACACACACACACACACACACACACCTATACACCAATCAAGGGGAAAACTGCATCCTAGCAATTTTACAGTCTGACGTTTTGTTGGTATAGCTATCATGCCCTTTTCAGCTTGTTTTTCTGTACAAAAGATATATTTTTGCCTTCTTCATTCCTGATGAGATTTTTCTGCGATAACTTTACATTCATACTGTAAAAATTAAAAGGTTAAAAGGTTAACAGATTAAGGTTTATTTGGGATACCAATTTCCATATAAACTAAAAATTAATACTTTATTAACACATGCCCACTTTATTTGCCAAAGAATCTGAGAGTTATGCGATGATTTGAATTAAATGACAAATGTGATAGGGAAAAAGAAAGTTCACAGTCTAGAAGTGAAAGGAGACATAGAAAATGCAGGCAAAAGACAAGGTTACTGCATTTCAAGCAAATAACAACAGTATGATTCAGATCAATCTTACAACATGAAAGGAAGCAGAATGGGTTTCTTTGAGTGCTCAGTAAGGTGAATCAGCAAAGGAAAGGTCATGAACTTAATGACAGGACTGATACAGTGAATTCAGATAATATTTTCTCAAATAGCTTTACAATTTCAAGGAAAAAATCTGTTACATTAGCAAAATCTTCTGGTCAAAACAGTTATTTTAAAAGTACAGCTATAGATGTACATCCACAATTCAAAATAAAGGAAACTAGGAGGCTTAAGATAACTGGGTGGCTAGATTATTAAAACGACAGTAACATAAGCCACTCAATTCGCCTAGCTGGCTACAACGATAAAAGTGACAGCACTTATTCATGAAACTGCTGTGGCCCTTGAATGCTTCTGTCTGACCCTTGCCATCTATGACTGGGGTTATCGACAGTGTCCTTTTTCTTTTTAACTAAAATGATCAAACACCTTGATTTGCCAGAGATGGTCCTAATTTATAACCACTGAAGCAACACAGTTACTAGTCATGTCTCTTTTCACCTTTAAAATTGTCTCTTTGATGGAGTAGAAACCTATAGATTAGTTTTTTAAAATTAGAGGATAAGTCATAGCACCTTATCCGTAACACATTTTAGTTTTTCTGTCCAGTGGTTCCTCTGACTTCTAGTATGCTTGGTTTGGAGAAGACCTGTCTCCCATCTCAATAACAGATGAAATAAGCATCAGCTTACCATTGCCAGTTGTCGACCAATGTTTCCCATTGTTATGCCTCCAGCAAAAAATATACACGGTAACCAAGAGCGAACATAGAGAAAATCTGGAGATGTATATCTAGAATAATAGAAATGTTTTTAACAACCCACCGAGGAAGTACAATGACACTTATTAATGGAAATAAGCTGTTACTCTGTAAAGTGGCTAACCCATTTTAAAAGCTCAATTCTGAAATCATTTGTCATTTATTTTAGGAAACAAGCACCAAAAAGAATACTTACTGATAAACACCATTATAGACTAGCAGTTGAGTGACCAAGGTTGCCAAGAAAGCAATTCCTACTCCAAGGCCAAAACCACTTCTAGATCTATCAAATGTCCACCACAGTCCAATGGAGAGTGCAGCCAGTGTGAGAGACAACTGTATGTTGTTATCAAAATCCACTTTCTGAGATCTGTGTTAAAGAATCATCTTAAAACTTGTAGCCACATAACACCACCTGTTCGTTTTGCTAAAATAAGAGATGTTCCTGTTGGGACGGGAATTGATTGCTTATTCCAGAGCGTGGTCAGTCTTTTCATACAACATATTGACACTGGGTGATACTAACTCTCTCTGATATTTACTAAAGATACACAGAGCGCATGATAATTTCATTAATAGATCCCACCTACCTGTAATTCCTTAAAAAAAAAAAAAATAGCACTCTATCTAACAGTCACAATTATAAGATCAGACCCATTATTTGAGAAATGCTTTCTTGGCTAAAAATGTAACCAGAAGCCTCAGAACACAAGTATTGTTAAAGGAACATACTTTTGCTAAAAAAGAAACCAATATCACTTCTCAAACAGGTTCAGAATTACTTGAGAATCATACAAGAACTTGAAAATAGAAGAGTTGACAGCTATTTAACAGGGTACCACATTCTCTATATGATTTACTGACAGACACATTTTATAATAATGCAGTTCAGAAACAAGAGTACCAAGGACACAGTATCCCTTTCTATTATGTCAACTGTTCTAGTTTTAATTTGTTGAGGATAAAGCCTTGAAGTGAACATTATCTTGCAACCTGCCAAGCTATTTTGGTGCCTGAGACTTTCTGGTATAGGACAGTTTGCTCAAATGATATTTTATTTCCGTCACCTACTTAAGCATCTATTCACAAATGTACGGCCCTTTTCTACTCCAAAATCTCTGGGCAAAACGAAGCTTTACAAATTCAATTTTCTCATTTCTTTGCTAGAGGATTACACTAAAGGAATTAATTTCAAGTATCATTAAAAGGGCATTATCTATGTCCCAAAGGCCACATCTTGGCACTATATCCAGCTCCCCAGGGGAGACTAGATATTTCGCCAAGCTAACTGGCCATGCTGCAACTAGAGAAGAGAGAAGAAGTTCAAAAAATGCATACAAAACTATTTCTTACTTCCTTTTAACATCCTGTTTACCACCATCCCCCTTCCTCCACCACACCATCTGGTATCTCCAAAACCTGGAATTCAGGTTTGCTTAATGTCTCAGTATCCGAGGGCTATTGTTGGCCACTCCCTCAAGGTCATTTCTTGATTAGGCTTGACTTAACAAAAAACCTATAGTTTATTGTATGCTTTCTGGAAAAGCTTCCTTATTCTTTAGCAGGCATTATACCTAAAACTCCAAAGAAAAGGTTATATGCTCTGATTTTTCTATGCAATAAACATGCATTTAAAGAGCAAAATTTGATATTAACTGAGTGCTACCTATGATAACTAAATTAACTTCATTAAGGGTCAAAGCAAAATAAGGTAAACAGGTAAAACACATTAATCTGAAAAATAGTATCATGTCATTTCTCAAATCTAAGGGACCTAATATCAAGTCTACATTATAAATTTATGCTAAAATTTTGCAAACATTTTGGATTTTACTTAAAGGGCAGGCAGAACAGTTAAAACTTGCTATATTCAAGTGTTTCATTGACAGAGAAAGAAAATGACCAAAGCAAAAAATTTAAATTAGACATATAAAGGTTTTCAAATCCCAGAAAAGGCTATTTAAATGTCTCTATTCAAAAACACCTGAAACATCTACAGTAGAGCCATCTAATCTACCAGCTGGAGAGGAATTTACACGCTTATAGGGCTCTGGAATAGAAGAAGCAGCCCTTCATAGACTCGAGTCAGGATCTCCGGGGTCCGGTCTCAGCTCTGTTCTACCTTGCGGTATGAACGCTTTAGCAAAGTACCCAACCCCTCCAGCTTTCATTTGTCTTACTATCTTTATAAAGAAAATGTAGAACTGGATGATTGCTAGTTGTCCTCTAGATAGAATATTCCAGGAGTCTATCTTTTTAAACCCTTCTAATCACTAGATATGTTTGTTATAAAATCCTAAATCTCAAAGATGTCACCAAGCTAAACATGTTAGGAAATTCTTTCATGTAAAAGGAAATGGGAAACCAAAATAATAACCGCCACTGAGGGCCTTCCAAATTCACAGAGCCCTAAGGGCTAACACAATTGGGAAGAGAAAGGCGATGTGTTTGTGGAATCGAGGACCCTATCGCTTGCCTCCATTCCTCCTCCCAAGCCTTTCCAGAATACCTCAGTATTTTCTGTAAAAGACAAGGAATCTACCTGCCACGTGACCTCGCCTCTCTCCAGCTAACTGCCAGCCCTGAGCCTGGTACAGAGCCACAGGAGGGAACCCTGGGCAGCCTGGCCCGCATTCCACGCTCATCCCAGCACCAGAGCTCCTGCCCCTCCACTCTCTAAGCCACATCTTCTAGAATAAAGGGATGACTGAACTAGCATGTCCCAGACTCTCTTTTACAAAGGAAAGTCAGAGGTGGGGGAGAAGAGAAGCAGGGAAGATGACAGGATAAAAACCTTATGAGGCCAAAACGTTTGTTCTGGGGTTGACATTTTTCTCTGTGCTGTGGGGGAGAAGACAGTGGGGAGAAGGGAAACAGAGGCCACTTCACCCTTCTAGCAAGGACACTATAAAAATACTCATTCAGGGGCGCCTGGGTGGCTCAGTTGGCTAAGCATCCAACTTCGGCTCAGGTCATGATCTCATGGTTCGTGAGTTCAAGCCCTGTGTCAGGCTTTGTGCTGACAGCTCAGAGCCTGGAGACTGCTTCGGATTCTGTGTCTGTCTCTCTCTCTTTGCCCGTCTCTCACTTGAGCTCTGTCTCTCTCTCTCTCTCAAAAATAAACATTAAACAGATTTTTAAATAAGAAAACCCCAAAAAAAATAAAAATACTCATTCATCACAAAATAAATTGTCAGAATCCTTAAATGATCAAATTTTAAAAATATGTACCTTAGGCAAAAAAGTTCTTTTTGGTCAATGTCCAAGCTGAATATTTTCATTATGCCACCTTTAAGAACATTTATGTGGTTTGCTGGCATTGATTAGAACCAATAGATGAGTCTGACTTTTTCCGAAAAAATTACAGGTTCCTTAAGTTAGAAACAAACTAAAAAAAAAAAAAAAAAAAAAAGAAGCCAGCATGAAGCCACCACATGTCCTTTTTGGCAAGTCTTAAATGAAAAAAGAGGAAAGAAATCCTTTGAAAATGTACCTGTTTCAATCTCAGAGTTACCGAAACTATACGGAAGTAATGAAGTAAGCTACTTTAAGAAAAACATGCACAGTTTTTAAACATGAGAAGTTTCTAAGTGATACTGAAGATGTAAATGAAAGGCTCTACCCCTCCCTGTAAGCCCACAGCTGCTCCTGTGATGTTTCAACAACACGGCACACATTCTTTTTCTGGCTAAGGAGACACAGCACAGTTTGACAACAGTGAAGTTGCAAGGGACTGTTTAACCTTTGGTTTGTTGGAGCTGCTTTGTGATTATGCATTTTGTTACAGCGGAAAGGATACAGCGCTGGCATGATTTATACCAACAAAGACGGCTACGCACCGCATCACACTGGACCACTCTCTTTTAAATTTATGTGGTTCTCCTAGATGCCTGTCAATGCAGGGGTATAATAACCCAATCACAGCTGTAGAAAAAAGGAGAAAAAAAAAAAAATTAAGTCATCTCCAATGCTATACCGGCAAAACTTAAGCTAAAAGAGCTACAACCCCCATAACCATTTGAAAGACTGTTTAAAAAGCTCTTCAAGTTATTTAACATCAATCACAGATATTTTTAAACTTATGTTCCAAAAGAAAAAAGATACCACCGCTGAAGAAAGCGCTGTAAATGCTTACCACGGTATCCTCAACTGTAACTGGCAGAGCACCATTTCAGTGCATGATTCACAATTTAGCACTCTGCACTAGATGATTCATGCTACTTTTCTACTACTACTATCCCTGAGATTTGAAAAGCATCAAACCAGTTGGCAGTTAAGCAATGTTCTCTCTAAACTACATAACCATGAAACATGCTATATAATGCCACAAACTATCTAAAGAAAGCTAGAAGCGTAAACGCATATAATAAGCTCATCACACACACCGTGCTCGTTTGGATGGCAATGGCTGTCCTGCTACACAGATTATCTTAGTTCCTCCAGCTTGTCTCCTGCACCCAGTGCTGGGTCCCAACGTTCCCCTGCACCCTGGCCCTCTAATGAGACTCTAGGTCATATTGTCAAAATGGGGAAACTTACAACAGAAATCTACATTTGAGCCTCCTTCTGCACATAGAAAAAACTTAGGAAATATAATCTGTAAGAACTATAAATTTCAGTTAAAATTTAAATTTACTCTTAAAAAGATAAGGAGGCATGATTTTAGTACATTTCTTAGTTTTAGAAAAAACATCTTTAATGTTAAGTGTGTAGTTATGAATAACTGTATGCAAAATGTCTATGATTGAGACTCAGAATACTTGCACCCGATTTTTAATTAAAATACTTGTCAAACTTCAACATTTTATTCATTTAATGGGAGAGGATTTTAAAAGCTAAGTTAGTCATTAAAAAAAGGCCTTAATGAATCAAAACAGTCTTCAGCAAGTTATAAGGAAAATGTACTTTTACAGATTAAATTAAACAGGAAATAGCTAGGCAGCTTTGATTTGCTAAACTTCCTAAAAACAGAATGGATATGTTGCCATTAAGTTAAAGACACAACTGTTACAATAGTTGAAAAGCATGTTTAGAAGGCCCAATGCTACCTATGATGTATCTTGAAATTACTGTACCAAGATCTGAGTGCCTGAGGACCAGGAACCCCTGCCTGGCCCGGGAGTGGCTAGCTATACCTTAACAAATGATGCATCCAATCATTAAGGAAAAATGAAAATCAATTAATATCACAAATCGCAGGCTAGCAGACCAGTGGAGCAGTCTACCATCTGGAGGTGAGCTGCTACAATGATATATCTGTGTCCTAATCTACAAATCTGAAAGCGCTCTCCTGAGTTAGGCTTTTGCTGAGCATAGCGGGTTCGCAGACCATCAAGAGATTAACAACAAATTTCAGCAATGCAGACCTCCAAAATCCGTTAGTAAATTTAAAACTTTCATATCCTATTCCTATTTAAAAGTCTCGGCTCTAAAATCCTGTGAGATTAACTGACAGCACTTCCAAATTTCTACAAAATTAAAATGGCACCAAGCATGCCTAACAGTTGAAATATATCTAAACGAATGCTACCTCTTTTTTTTTTTTTTTTTCCTCAAGGGGTCATGAAACTAACAGCTCATATCATTCCTCACTCTCGCTCTCCCTCTCCTCCCTCTGCCTGTTGCTGAGTGAAATCAACTAAGATCAGGCATTCCAAGTCAATTTTCCTCAGCAGCTGATGCCATAGGTAAAGAATTATCACATAGAGAATACTGACGTGTGTGCAAAGAAATAAGTAAGTAAAATTGACTAGATTTGTATGCATGTGATGTCAGACTCACAAGGGAGAGACAACTGAGGAGAGAAAGCAAAAACACAAAAAGGAATTTAAACTGCCACGCTGCCAACCTTGGGATTTGCCAATAAAAATCAAATCCATTGAGTATGCATGGTTCTCGGATGCTCCCTGAGAAGGAGAATTCGAGGAAGCCTGTCACTTCCCATTAAATGTCTTCTTCCTTCCCTTTAAATAAAGGCATGGCAGAGTCTGATCACAATATCTACAGCTCAGTGAGGCTCCACTGTTTGAGAGCTCAGCAGAAGTATGCCTGGGCCTCTTTTCGTCTTTCTCCACTTTCTTATCCTAACAAGAGAGACCGTTAAAATCGTGCCAGCGTAACATTACATGCAAACATCGTCCTGCTTAATCGCAGGGTTCTCTGATGCAAACTAACACTGCTTGGGATAGATTTAAGCTATTTCCCAGGGACCAGTTACAGCCTACCAAGCCAAAACCAGAATAAGTTTGTAAGACATCAATATTAAGTCATCATGTTTTCTGGATGGAAGTGTGTTTAATTCAGTGATACACTACAAGGGACAGTGAAATCAAATGTTTTGCAAGGAAAGAGGGCTGAAAAAACAAAGCCACTGAACGAGATAGACTTCATGGAAAACAGTTACAGGATAAGCAACGTTCCATTCAATAAATACTTAAGCTCCCATAATGTGTCTCCACGATCCCAGCCCCAAAGTGATCACAGCAACAATTCAATACAGTAATACGTTAGGGGTAGCACTGACAGCGCCTGGTGGGGCCCTGGCCTCTCTTGGCATGTGCTGAGGGAAAGTGGGGTGCTGGCGTTTCAGGAAAGCTTCACAGAAGAGGTGGCCCTGAGGCAGCAGCGCTCAGCAGGTCAGTGTGTGGAAAGGGCTTTCTAATCCAAGGGAAGCATTGAGGAAAAGCACAGAAATTGCCCAATACCCACTATCGCCTGCAAGTTGTAAGCTTCAAGCAAAAAGGGAGCTTCAGAAAGCCTCAGAGGAAGATAAAAGTCGGCAAGGGCCATATCAGAGACTTCACGCTGCAGACACTGGGGAATCAGGAAATAATGCCATCGAGTTTGAACCAGATGGTTCAAACCAGACCTGGTTTGAACCAGATAGAGCATGTAGGAACACGCTCCTACAGTAGCACCAAGTGCACCACACAGGACGGGGTAGCAGGCAGAGTTCAAAATCAGAAGCCAAAAAGGAAAAAATTGCAAATTCCCATCAGACTGGTAGAGGGCCTGCCTGGACCAAGAAAGAGACGGAGGAAACACAGAAGTTGGACGCTTGGAGGTAAGAGCGGGAGAAGTCTTGCGGAGCTCCCCAGGAACTGGGTAAATGACTGCCTGGCCAATCTGGAAAGATTTGTTTTTTCTTTTTACATTAGACATTAGCTTCATAGGTTTGAACATAATTTGGTTACTTAGGATTTTTCGAGTCAGTTTCTCTAGTTAATGTTACTCACACAATGATGGTTATCTTTCTCCTCTATTCATTCTTCAGAAAGATTCCTTTGCAGCCCTCGGTAACATTCAAGAGGTTTCTAACTGATTCTAACGCACTGCACACACAGAGAAGTTAATCAGCTTGAAACACCAGCCGTTATTAAATTCAAAAATAGGGAACCACAAAAAGGAAAATGAGAGCAAAGGCAATTTACCAGACTTCTCTACTGGGTGTCCCTCTAGAAGCATGGCCAGCCAATTTTCCAGCACTGTGTTATAGGGAAAGGCAGCAAATAACCAGGGGCCCTTTGGTTCGCATGTAGAAAGTGGTGATTCCGGAGAACCTCCAGAAGGGAGCTCAGTCTATGAGTATTGTTGGACAGGAAAATGAAAGTACAATTTTCAGTTTTTCTGACTTAAGATGGTTAAGAACCTAGAGTTTTGAAAATGCATTCCAGCACATGTACAGAAAGACATATACATACTTTGAACGCACGTCAACTTGTACGCGCTATGTTTCTTATACCACTGACTTTTTATTTCCTTGATACTTTCCCTAAGATTGGGGGCAGGAGGGGCAGAAATCCATTTTCTACCTTTGGCAACTTTCACAAATCTGGTACTTTGCTCTCATTTACTAAATACCATGACCTATCCAACAAAATCAGTAGCAGGGTTAACTGGAACCTAGATTTCCAAACGCCTCTCTACCTTCGCTTGCCCAGTTACCTCGTGGAATGCACTGCTTTCAGGAGAAACACTTAAGCAAGAAATGTAAGTGTAAATACCCCAAACGGAGAGCTGTGAAGTTTGCAAGTGTGACAAACCTAGCGGCTGGGGAAAGGAAGGAAAGTAGGGACAAAGTGACTGAAATGCAGCATTAACATTTGGAATCTTCCTTCCTAAATATGAGTTTGTGGCAAAAGTGCCCACACCACAGGGGAGGACACAGCCCCTGGTCCTCTCCTTAACGGAGGTACAATGAAACCTCAGTCAAGTTCACTTGCCCCCCCCGGCCCCGGGGGCCGCGGGCCCCCCCCCCCCCCACGAATGTACATCACACAACACGACGTTCCATCCAAGCCCGGCGCTTCATCTGCAAGCTTCAAAAGAGACACCCTGAGGAGAGGGGAGGGTGAGTAGCTTTCTCTTCCCCTTCTCCAGCATGTGACATCTGACCTAGCCGCACTACTCACTGGCCCTCAGACCCCGGGCTCACGGATACCCTCTCTTTATCTCAGGGTCCTCATTCCCCCAAAGGGGGCACAATGCCAAAATATCACTCCCAAAGTTGCCCTACACATCCCTGGGGTTAAGGGATGTGCCTAGCACGTGAGGAGGCATTCAATAAGAATTTCTCTCCCCTGACCTTCCTTTCGTCTATCCTGAAAAGATGTGTTCTTCCAAGTCCCAAAGAGCTTCAATTAGTAGCCAGACAGCAGCTATGCCATAGGAGAAAATAAGCAAACCAGGGGTGCCTGGGTGGCTTGGTCAGTTAAGCGTCTGACTCCTGGTTTTGGCTCAGGTCTTCTCACAGTTCAGGACATGAACAGAGCACGTCAGGCTCAGTGCTGACAATGTAGGGCCTGCTTGGGATTCTCTCCCTCCTTCTCTCTGTCCCTCCCTCCCTCTTTTTCTCTCTCTCAAAATAAATAAATAAACTTAAAAAAAAACTAGAAAAAGATGGTGGGAACACTTAATTTTTCTCTTTTGAGTTTAGATGAAAAAAAAGAAAATATATGAGGGCTAGTAGATATGACAGAGAATGATAAAATATAATTTTGCTTTCTCCTGTATTTGGACTAGTTTGCCTATTCTCTCAGAAAATGTAATGACCTTGGGGCCACTAAGAATCCCTGCCTTTACAAACCTTAATGTGAATATTGTGATAGCGACATCGATTCATAAACCACACTGGAACCTTACGACAAAAATGCCCTTCAATCCATGCCAATTGTCCACTAGATTCCACGAGGTCATTCTAAAACATCTCACACCTAACTCCTCACTCTTCAACCTCCAGCTCTGGGATGGAAGTCAAGAAGGATCTACATTATACTGCAGTGTCGCTGATATTAAATATGAGACACCAAGTGGACATTCCAAAAAGCAATTTCTCTCTCGATCAGAATTTTCTTCTACCACACAATGATGGCTCCCTTCTATCACTTTCTTTTTTATTATTAATCTATTGGTCTCCGTCATTGGAAAAAGCTAAAGAGTATCCATTATGGAAGCTCGGCATTACAAAGGCTTTCTGAAATGCTCCACCTTATTCATTACACATTGTCCACCAAAAAAGATCTACAATAACTCCTGAAATAGGATAACGATTTTTAAGCAAAGAGAATCTACCTTATGTATCTCTTTAAGTATTCTCTATTCTTAAGCTACATCTGAAACCAAGATACCAAGAAGAAAGCATGTCCAAAAATCTAAAAAATAATAACATGAAGCTTTAAATTTTTTTTAAGTTGATTCATTTACTTTGAGAGAGAGCTTGTGCACACACACAGTCAAGCGGGGGAGGGGCAGAGAGAGAGGAGCAGAGAGAAAGAATTCTGAGCAAGCTCCACACTGTCAGGATGCGGGGCTCAAACCGACAAACCATGAGATCATGACCTGAGCTAAAACCGAGAGTCAGACGCTTAACTGACTGAGCCACCTAGCGCTCCGAATTTGGGTGATTTTGAAAGTAAATTATTGCCCACATGAAGCTTTAAACTTGAATAAAACTACTCCATCTTTCAAGTTTTCATCTACTTCAAAAACAAGGCCATAACACACACAGATCCAACCCTTCAAACCAAACAGTGACAATGATCATCAAAATAACTCAGAGTTATCATCAAAATAACTTAATATGAGGTGGGTTGAAGAAAGGATAAAATTAAGAAGTTAAAAGCCTCAACCTGAAGGCAAGCTAGATTTGTTTTAGGATTAAATTTTTTTTTTATTTTTTTTAATGTTAATTTATTTTTGAGAGAAAGAGAGAGACAGAATGCGAGTGGGGGTGGGGGGGCAGAGAGAGAGGAAGACTCAGAATCCAAAGCAGGTTCCAGGCTGCGAGCTGTCAGCACACAGCCCTATGCGGGGCTTGAACCCACGGACCACGAGATCATGACCTGAGCCGAAGTCGGACGCTTAACCGACTGAGCCACCCAGGTACCTCTTAGGATTAAGTTTTTAATGTTCACAGGTCAGACAGAAATCAGACACGCTGGTACCTACCCAGTGATTCCATTTACATTACATTACATTGTCCCTACTAATCTAAGGACAGAAAGATCAGTGGAAGCCTGAGGCTGGGGGTGGGGCATGGACTGCAAGGGGGCACAAGAGAGTCCGTGGGTGACGGAAATGTGCCACAGACGGGCTGTGGTGGTGGGTCACACAACTGCACGCATTTGCCTAAACTCATCAAAGCACTCATTTAAAACGGGTCTGCCGTACTGCATTTAAATTAAAGCCAGGAAAAATAAGTCCTGCTCAGACAACATCAGAACTCATGTGCCCTGCTTGCTTCCTTTCTAAGCATCACAGAAGCAGCCTACACATACCTGAGGCTGTGCCACAGCAGGGCGGCACCCACCACGCTGAAGAAAAGATGCTCGCGATCACGTCGGGCGGAAAGAGCGTCACATTTCTCTGAATCTGAAGTAAATTTAACACTAATGCAAGAAATACTCCAATAAAAAACAGCACCACTCCACGAATCATCAAGTTCACGCTCCTGCTAGTGATAGATGAAATATAGGGGCCACGCTTTTTGGGCCCAGGCGACTCTGTCTTTCCTTCTGCCATGGTTTCATAAGTTCAGTAAACCGGCAAGACAAAAAAAAAAAAAAAAAAAGCCTTCCCAGCAGAAAAACCAAATGTCTGTGAATCGAAGCAGGCCGGTGATCCTACAGTTACAGCATCTTGTCCTAAAAGAGGACCTACCAGAAATCCTGCAAGAGATAAGAAACAAGAAATCAATGGTTGTCTAATAAGTGATCCTGCAATTTTTCTGATTTCAATACTAATTAATTTCAAAGTACTAATAATGAAATGACAAGCTTATATATTTATGTGAATTCGTTACTTACTGAATAAGAAGTGACTTAAAAAGGATTTTTTAGGCATGATGTAATAAAAAAGTGTTTTTTTTATTTACCTGTATTTATATATTTACCAGAACAGAACAAGTGACCTGTGAGGCTCACAGGTTAGATGAATAATAAAAACAACTTGCCCCACCTCGGAGAAGAGCAGAGCAGGTTACCTGAGACAGTATACCAGAGTCTGGAAGATTAAAATCCAGGTTTCTGTTTCTTCTACCTAAATCTCCAACCCTATCAGTTACAACAGATGGGCCTGGAGATTTAGGTAAAAATCTGTATACTTTACAGACGATAAAAGAATTAACATATAAGATCAACATATTCTGACTGAAAATTGTGTAATGCCCACAATAACATGGGACTTGCTCATGAGGAAGACCTCCCGAGGGGAACATGACCTGTTTTACTGTTTAACGCTTATGTATTTGAATTTTCGTGCAAGAGCATCTTACAAAACACAGACCACCACCCAATCACCTACATACACATCAAGCACAGAAACCAGACCTGGCCTGCCCTCGGCAGGCCACAGCTGTGTCCCACCCCTGCCTGGACCCAGTCAGCCCTGATTGCAACCCCAGGAGCTTTTGTGATAAATCTTTAATAGGAAGCAGAAGAAAGGACACGAAGAAAATGAAGGGTAATCCATGGCTGGACTCCAAGGAGTCTGAGCCACACGGCTCTTGACTCCTAAAGCTTAGAACTGTGCCAGTACCATCAGTCTAGGTATCTGTTCCTCTAACCAAAGCGATCTTTCCTTTTTGTGTGGCAAATAACATCTGATGCAAAGTGATCTTTCCTTTGTGCGTGGCAAATAACATTTGATGCGTTCTATGAGCAAACAAAACCCATGTGTAAACTGGGTACTGGGGAGGGGGTGCTGACTTTAGAAATAATCAGTGTAGGGGCACCTGGGCGGCTCAGTTGGTCAAGTGTCTGACTCTTGATTTCATCTCAGGTTGGGATCCCTGGGTTGTGGGATTGAGCTCCACATCAGGCACGGTGCTGAGCGTGGAGCCTGCCTGGGACCCCCTCCCTCTCCCTCTGCCCCTCTCCCGCTCACACGCATGGGCACGCACGCTCTCCCCCTCTTCCTCTTAAAAGAAAAAAAAAATTCAGTATGAAAATGAGAATATCTGTGAGTCCTAGTAACTTTCACAGCCTATCAGTTCCATGTGATTAACACAGACAAAAGACGGTTTTTTTTTTCCTGAACCTCTGCCACATCCAAAGCTCTGTGCCCGACACTCACAGAGGGAGTTCTGTCCTCAAACTAGTCCTCACAAACCTAACTTGGTCTACAGCATAACTGAGCTCTACAGCTTAGAGGACTACAGAGAGCAGTATGTATTATGGCTGATTCACGGGAAAATATACTCCAATACCAACTCAAAAGTCTAGAAAACACTTCCTGATCCGCTTTTGCAGACTCTTCCTTGCTGTCGTATCCTGCATATTAGCATGCCGTATGTTCTCTTTACTTCTGCCAAGGTGTTCGGTAGCCATAGAATTCTTCATCATCATCATGGTCATGACTACTGATATAGCACCCACTGATGGAGGGCCTACTCCATGCCAGACATAGTTAGCTCGAACCTTCAAAATCATCCAAAGGTTAAGTATTACCATCCTCATTTCACAAATGAAATACAAAGTCAAAGAGATTTAGCAAAACTTGCTTATCGTCACATGACATGCAGTATCAGAACTGGAATTTTACCTTAGGTCGAACTCCAAAGCCCATCATCCTCTTCCCTCTAAACCCTGAGTCCCATTCCAGCCCAACTGTTCAGACTTGTTTTTCAGCACATGGATACATGAAAGGGTATTTGGTCAGTGAAAAGATGATAGACATGGAAAAACTAACTCAAGTGTAAGAGATTCTCAACATAAGTGGGCAACTGTATAATAGCACAAAGATCATAAGTGTACCAATGTCTTGAAATGTCCTTTACATCAAGGTGTGAAAAGATGTTTCCAAGAAGAAAAAATCCTATGGCCAGTTTGCATACTGTGTAACACCAACGTTTACTGTGTAAGTTCCTTCACTTCCCAGACTTCCAGCAGACACAGTAACCCACCCCAGCTCCTGCTGTTAAAACAGCCACTCGAGCACAAAGAGTGTATATACATTTTAAGTGGCCCCAATTCCTCTAGCAAATCATTTGTTTATGTCTGTGCTTTTTCCAAAAGCAAGTTAATGGCAAAGCATATGTGGCATTGAATTATGTTTCCAAAAGAGCAAAATAACTTCAGCTTTAAAAAGCGTTGTTCAATTGTGCCAGGCTCAGCTCACAATCACCAGTGTTTGTCAGAGGGCACTGGCATTTTGGGCAGGACAATTCCTTGTTGTGTGGAACTGCCCTAAGCATTGCAAAACACTTAATGTCCCTGGCTCGTCCCCACTAACTGCCAGCGCATGCCCCCTCCCCCACTTGAGACAACCAAAAATGCCCCTACGTAGATTTCCAAATGCCCCCAGAGGGCAGTGCCCTCCCACTAAGAGCCACCATTGCTACAGACTATTTCGTCAAGCTAGAGACTTTCTAAACGATTTACGTGATTCTACCATAGATGTTTATTCAACCTTCCCTGGCAATGCTTGTTTGTAGTCTCCTACTTCACCCCAAAAGCATTCATTCTTTAAAAGTAACACAGTATTTGTTTGGTGTTTGAGTGTTTTTTAAAAGCTAATATTTTGGGGTGCCTGGGTGGCTCAGTCGGTTGGGCGGCCGACTTTGACTCAGGTCATGATCTCGAGGTCCGTGAGTTCGAGCCCCACGTCGGGCTCTGTGCTGAGAGCTCAGAGACTGAAGCCTGCTTCAGATTCTGTGTCTCCCTCTCTCTGACCCTCCCCTGTTCATGCTCTGTCTCTCTCTGTCTCAAAAATAAATAAACATTAAAAAAAATAAATTAATTAAAAGCTAATATTTTAAAAATCCAAGAAGCTGACTTTGATGACTATATAATAATATAATAGTATATAATTACTGGAGACAAAAATAAAAGAATGCTTTAGAATCACAGTATCCTAAAATTTAAGAAACAGAAGGGAACTGAGAGACCATCTCTATTCTAGGGGGTATGTCAGCCTGATGCAAAACAAAACAAAAAAGTTGTGTGTGTGTGTGTGTGCGTTTTTCTGCAGAGTTCCACAATTTATACCAAGTACTCAAAAAGTCGATGATCCAAAAGAAAAGTTAAGAACCAGTGATCTAACAGTTTTCTCATTTTACCAGCATAGCAAATGAGACCCAAAGTGGTCAAATGAGGGGACAAGATCAAGACTGTACTACTGGATCTTGCTACCACGAATGTGTAAAGCGTACTCCTGGAAATGACCACACTCATCACAAGAAATTCCACAAGCTCACTCACTCCCTGCTATCCAACAGCTAAGTTCCTTAAAAAAAAAGCATGCTGTTTATAGTATCAGTCACACAACAGGGAAGTGAGTTTTAAATTATAGCTCTTGGAATTAAGTATCCCCCAATTTGTTTACTTTTACGTAAAGTTCAGTTTTCTGATTACGTATTGGAATTTTTTTCTCAAAACAAAATGTACCTATAACTTTAAATATTACCGTTACATCAACGATAAATTTGATTCTTCACCATTTTTTTTTAAGTCTATATTTGAAAACTTTAGATTACTCAACAAATAATTTGCTGATCAGGGAAGAAGTCTTTGGTATAAAGATTTAAAGAACAGTCCCTCAACAGATCCTCAACAATAATCCTGGTAAGTAGGCAAGCGTATTTAATCCCCATTTTACAAAACAAAAAATGTTAAGTAACTTTCTGAGATGATAATACTGTATCCTAGGTAGTATCAGGACTAGTGCTCTCCCCCACCTCCCCAACACTCTGGCTTCATGTACAGTTCTTTCTCATTTCACCACATTGCCCCACCTACGAACACCATACAAAAACAATCCGTGTGCCACACAAGTGGCAGCTTTTAAAGTCACACTGATAAATACTGTTAATACCAAAATAATGTGTGGGTTTTTTTCAAAAATTAACAAAGAAAAATCTCCCACGGTACATAAAAAGCTTTTAATCTTCCTTGAGTCCTGACCTACAGTTTCTATAAAGTACATTACTGAACAAAAAGAAAAATAATTCAGATAGTTTAGATACATCAATAACAAATCATCAAAGCTGGAAAAACATTAGTTCAGGTATATGACTGCCTGTCATATAATAAAATTAAATCACTACTGCACATCTTTTGCATCATGTGCTCTCTTAATTATAATGGCATTCTCAACATAGAATAAGCATAAACATCAAGAAAAACACAGTTACATCAATGCAAAAGTTTAACTCTCCTTAAATAAAAGCACACGAATGTGAATCATAGTCTAGGGACACTAAAACTTCTAGAAAGACAGACATGTGTGCCTTGAAGACACTGCGATTCATCTTTCCTTTCTACGTCAACATCCAAACACAGAAACCATTAATCAGGCAGCACTCACATCCCATTACTACTTTTAAATGTCAAATCTCAGTCATTAAAAAGGTTACACTATCATTTGGGAATAATTTTCTGATAACGATGAAAACAACTGGTCTCCAAATTTCTGAACTACATTTTATCCTCTCCTTTACTGCCCGATCCACACATAAAAGCAACAGTAGTCAGTTTAAAAAGAATCAACCCTTTCCCAAATGTACACGATTCACTGCTTGGTCACTTTATGTCAGATGTGTACTGAGAAGTACAACAAATCACACTCGTCAACGTAATGTCCAGAGAAAGAATCAAAGGGGGAAAACAGGAAGAGTACGTGACTAATATTTTCTTTGGAGATCCTATAATTCAGGGAGCCTATAATCCCTTCACTCATTTTCACTCACTGGATGGCAATCAGAGCCAAGCGCCAAAGTTGGAAAACAATCTAGCCACTGCCTGCTTGGCTGCCTTCATTTTTCCTGTACTTAGGACTGGAGCACGCCTTCCCCTGCAATCTTCAGCTCCATCGCAATACTGATCTGGGCCAGTTTCCGTGGCGCAGCTGTCCAGTCTACCCATTCCTTCTTAAAGCATCTCCTCATCAATCCTACAAAATAGTAAGCTCTCCATGGTATATTTTCCTGGTCTAGGGAGCTACACCATACTTTCATAACTTTTTCCCGACACTAACAGGGCATGGGGTCACGATCACTTGTTTTATTAGCACACTTCTCCCCCACCCCCCCCTCCTCTCCTATCATCCACACCGCTTTCCTTTTCCAGATTGCCAATCCCCACTGAGCAACCCTAAAATCCCAGTAACTATCACCAACCGACTTCTACGTCCTGACAAGAGTTCTCTCTGCATTTACCCACACACCTACTCCAAAGGTGTCCAATTCCAATCCAAAATGCCAAAGTCCCACTCCTCAACCCAATATCAACACATCTTTCTGCGGATTCTAAACTTACTACAAAACCTACCTTTTGGATCCATCCCCTTCCCAAACCTGAGTCTCTCTGGCTACAAGCTTCCCAAGTCCTGACAGCTCTATGCTTGACAGCTCGCCGACCTCCACCCTCATCAGATCTCCAGGGTCGCCCTTCGCGGCGTCCTCCAACCTTCTTTCCTCTCCGACACTCTTCCACTGTCCGGAGAGCTTGGGCCTCTCCTATGACCTCCGCCCGACCCCGCTTGTCCCCTTCCGCCCCTCCCCGACCCTTCTCCAGGTAAGCGGAGCCCCTTGCCCTTCAGGCCCCATCTGTGGTCCTGGCTACCCGCATCTGCCAGCAAGGTTCCCAGGATGCAAAACCACAAGCAGTTCCTCTCCCCGAAGGCCATCCCCCTCCCCAGGCCGCTTCCCTCAGCACCAAGTCCCCCGCGCTTCGAAAGGGTACCCCAACTCACCCCCGCCTCCGCCATCTTCTGGGACCGGCTCCCGCCCCCCTCCCGCTCTTCCTCCTCCCCTCCCACAACTCCGCCCGACCTCCACTGCGCCTGTGCCGTCGACGAGGAGGCGCTCCGACGATCGGGGCAGAAGAACTTCCGGTTCCTACCGGCACCAGTCGGTGGGCCCGCGAGACGGGGCAAAAAGGCTTCCGGTCTTCGCGCAATCCGAGGCCGCTGGTAGGCGTGGACTGTTTAGAAGGTGGGAGGTGGCTGGGTCAGCTGTTGTTTGCTGCTCAGGCCGCCGTGAGTTGTGACGAGTCTCCAGACCCTGGGGGCGGTGTGAGAGAATCGCGCGCTGACACACGCACACTCTCTGGGAGGCGTGACCCTCAGCATGTCTCTTTGCTCCAAGGGGAATTGAGGGCTCTGGAGCGTAGGCCGCCGGGTTCTCCCGCCGAGGACGGTGACTCTCAGTATCTTTGTGCTTTTGCTTTTCCTTTCCCCACTAACTCATAAAAACATAATGGATATTTGACTCATCTCCATGCCACAGCACTTTATAAGGTTTTTATTGATAATCGTTCCCCAGGTTCGATCAGGTAACACCGTTTGGGGACAGTTGTTTTCGTAGAAAGAGCTTTAGAGGTTTATAGCAAAGTAGAGAAAATACAGAATCTTGTAACCCCCACTCTTTCTCAGAAGTTGTGCTATAATGTGGATGTGATGAGGTTACAATGGCCTTGAGGAAAGTTTTAGGTGAAATTTGGGCCTAGCACAATTGCTTAAGAGCTTTGCATAAAAGTGTCAGTGAAATTCCTTTTTTCCTTCCTTTGAGCTGGTGAAAAATAAGATGGATTTTTATGTTTCTAAACTTGATAGCAGTACATTTATTTCCGAAAATTAAAGTAGAAATTAAATCTGCAACAAAATGCATCTAGGCAATATGATCTGTCTTGTTTTCTCTAATGTTTCCTCTAGCTCTTAAATTTCTCTCCTATAGGTTTTTACACTCCCAGGAAAATAAGATCTGGGCAGATTATATGAATGGATGAAGAATTTTAAAAGGAAAAGAGAAGGGCACCTAGAAACAACCTGAGGATGTCCTGATAGGAAGGCTGTCTGCAAAGCAATATAAGTTCTATTCATCTAGCTCTGCCTCCCCTAACTCATCTTTTTCAAACACTTAGAAATTGCCTTCAAGAAAAGCCTTATGGAAAATTTTAGCCTACAGAGCATTTATTTTAGTTTATTTAAAGCTGGAAAACCTTGGTACATTCAAGGAATTCAAAAGAAGGCAGAACCCCAGAGGGCAGTGGGGGGTGGGATAAAAACTGAGATTGAGGTTGTGTATTAATATCATGATTGAGCACATATTGTGTGTCCGATACCATGACAAATTTCATTTCATTTCACCTGCTCAAAAACCTCTTTAAAATAAATACTATAGGGGCGCCTGGGTGGCGCAGTCGGTTAAGCGTCCGACTTCAGCCAGGTCACGATCTCGCGGTCCGGGAGTTCGAGCCCCGCGTCGGGCTCTGGGCTGATGGCTCAGAGCCTGGAGCCTGTTTCCGATTCTGTGTCTTCCTCTCTCTCTGCCCCTCCCCCGTTCATGCTCTGTCTCTCTCTGTCCCAGAAATAAATAAACGGTGAAAAAAAAATTTTTTTTAAATAAATAAATAAATAAATAAATAAATAAATAAATACTATATAGTAGATGAGAGATTAAGGCCAAGAGCTGTGATATTCAATACTGGCTGCATATTAGGATCACCCGTGGATCTATTAAAGTTTCTTGTGTCTGAGCCTCGTCCTCCATATCTTCTGACTTAATTGGGCTGAAGAGGGGACCTCAGCCACTTTAATAAATTCCCTGTGTAATCCTAATATGCAACAAGAGCTGAGAATCCCTGTCATAGAGTCAATTTGCCCAGGGGCACTTAGCAACTAAGTAAGCAGCAGAGGAGGCAAAAATTCAACCTAGATCTATCTGATTCCAAAACCTGTGCCCTTAGCCAACATTCAACAGCATGTGGCACACGCCACTTGCATGCTAGGAGCTTTGTTAAACCCTGGGACACAGAGATGAATGAGACACAGCCTTTGCCTTCAATAAATTCACAGCCTTGAGAGACAGAAGTCCCAGTAAATGAAGCTAGGCCAGCTCACACAAGGTAGAAGCAGTCAACCGACAGTCAACTGAAAACTCTCTGATATGTCCTTCCTATTTTAAGCTAGATTGGCACAGCAGGTGCCTGGTGGCGGGGAATCTAGGTAGGCGTTATTGCAGCTGTCAGCTGGTTGCAACATCTGGTTGCAAGCCTAAACGAAGACAACGGCAGGGGTACAAAGAGAATTGGCAAGACTTGCTAACCGCTGGTGAGAGGCTCAAGGAAAGGAAGTGGAAGATGACGTCAGAGTTTGGAATTTGAGTGGAAGTAACACCATTGATCTAGAACAAGAACACAAGACTTGAATGTAGGGTTGACTGAGTTTGAAATACTTGTGGAACAGTCAGGTAGAAATATCTAGTAGAGCACCAGAAGTGTGCATCTGGAATTCAAATAGTCTGAAAATAAAGATCTGGAGTCACTGACTTATAAATGGTACTTGAAACCATGCTTTGTATAATGTGTATGCTATGTGTGGAATTTTTTTTAAGACAATAGAGATCAGGAGGAAAAAAAAAAACACCAATTTTGACATTGCCATATTTGAATAGTTCAATAAAGCTATTTTTATCTGCAGTGATATTAAATACAGTCATCTCATGATCATCCGTGATGAGTTTTTAATACTTTCCAGACTTTCCCTGGCCTCACAGCAAATTCAACAGATGATGCATAGCCCTGGAATGCAAACCAATTTTAAATATTGGCTAAATATTTAAGAACACAATACGATGCATTCAGAAATGTAATAGAAATATCCTAGGGCAGTGTTTCCACACATAAATAATTTTTATGTATCCCTAGTTTTGACTTCAATTATTTTGTCCTAATATTACTTAAATCTATAAAAATTACACTGTTCTAAAACATAAATCTGGACCAAAAAATTCTTAGGCTTAAGCTCATATGCCTCTATAAACCAAAACACTTGTAAAATAAATATGAACAAAAGCATAAAATAATAAGCTTCAAGTTATAGTGACATGAAAGGTGTTTTCTTGAAATTGAAGATTTTCGGTAAATATCTAAATCATCGCTCTAGAGTGGATTATTTTTAGATAAAACATGCTTTTAATACTGTATGTCACGTGATGGCTCAAGCCTCTCACTACTTCTTTTTATTAAACCTGTATTTTTACAATGAACCCCACCATTACTTGGTCTTTATTTGGAGCAAATGGTCATTTATATACATCCCTCTTTTTTTTTTTTTTTTAAATCAATGTAAAACAGTTACAAGCCAATCTGAAGAGAAATCATGTAGCAATACTCTGTTATAATGTGTTTATCAACATAATCCAGAACATGCCGATATTAATATTTTGAAGGTTGTCATATAATTAAAATCACATCATTTCAAAATTCTTCAGAGAAGTTATGGAAAACTGAGAATATATTCATGCCCCCTAAAGATCTGCAAACACCACTTTGGAGAAAGAAAAAAAAAACTATCCTAGATTATCCAGCATTTTTTATTATTTATGCCTTATAAAATTCCTTAGCATACATCTCCAATTCTCAAAATACATTTTGTACTCCACACAATCAGTATTAACAGGTAGTTTGTGGGGGAGAATGGGGTTCTACGTTTGTATTTGGCAAGCATTGGATTAGAAAAAGAAATTAAACATATTTTGAGAGCCTTTAATATGCCAGGACACAGTTTGTCCCATGGAACACGTGGTTCTTTCCCTCCTTCAGGGCATCTAACAGGGCTAGTATTTGACTATGTTTATATATTGTCAAACATTTCTATCTAGTATGCTTAGGGAAAGTTGAAAAAATGATGTCGTATTTTACAGTGAAGGCTGTTTATAAAATCCTCTGTCATCTCTATCAATGACATCTACCTAGAAAACAGAGGCATTGGGGCACCTGGGTGGCTCAGTCGGTTAAGCATCAGACTTTGGCTCATGATCCTGTGGTTTGTGAGTTCAAGCCCCTGCATCGGTCTCTCTGAGCAGAGCTGGATTTGGATCCTCTGCCCCTCCTTCTCTCTTTGCCCCTCCTTCTCTCTCTGCCCCTCCCTCACTTGTACTCTTTCTCAAACATTAACGTTTGCAGAATTTTTTTTTTTTTTAAAACAGAAAGCAATACTTCGAATTCTGTGGTCTCCCTCTCTCTCTGCCCCTCCCCCATTCATGTTCTGTCTCTCTCTCTCTCTCTCAAAAATAAAAATTAAAATTAAAATTAAAAAAGGATGCAAAAGCATCATTAGGCATATGGCACACTTTTCAGTGCCTAGCATGGTGCCTGTTTCATAAAATGAGCTCAATAAATATCTGGGGGTTAATCAGCACTTTGTTGTATTTGTTATTTGTTTTATGTCAATAGCAGTTGCTGCCATTTTCATTTATGAACTGCATATCTTCTGAAGAGAAAACCATGATCACAAAAGCATTTTTATGAAGCCTCTCATATAACCAATATTTATCTTGAAGTATCATAAAGAAATTGGTCATAGAATCTACACCGTCCAATATGGCAGACACTAGCCATGTGTGCAGCTATCTAAATAAAAATAAAAATGAAAAAAATTTAATAAATTAAAATTTGAGTTCTGCAGTCACGTGTATCAAGTATGCAATAGCTCCATGTAAACAGTGCAAATTATAGAACATTTCTATCATCACATGAAATTTTTACCGGAAAGCCCTGTATTAGATGATTTATATAAATTTAGCTTCCTCAAAATACAAGGTGGGGGGGGGAAATCAAGACATAGAGGTGAAATTAAATTATTACTACAAGCAATTTGTCCACCTGAAGTTTATGACATCTTTTGGCATGTTGGAGACAGAATTGTATAATGCAAAGGTACCCAGCTGGTCTAGTTTTACTTTAGGAAAAAAGTTTGAGCCTTCTCAGCTTTCAGACCTGGCATCAACCTCTTCTGGAGAGA